TAGCTCACAAAGTAGAATTTTCGCTCACGAGATTCCACAGCTTAGAGGGAGCATTGATCTCAACATATGTTCAGTCTTTAGTTTGGAATAATAATAGTGCAATCCTGAATGTGTTAACCTTCCTCAACCTTAACCTTCGATACACTTAGAAAGGTGTAACTCTTGTTTAGGATTGCAGTGTCTTCCAGGCCTGTAGCCAGGGTTTTGAGGATTGTGGGACAAATGTTTTTTCTAGTGGGGCCGAAGTTCTCAGTGCAGAAAGAAAAGCCAGTGAGTCAACACAAAGCTGTGACCAGGAGAGATCTCTAGATTGCAAGCTGTCAGCCACTTTAGATGACAGTTCTCAACTTAATCACTTCTGCCAGCCTAAGCAACAATTCTGAGAACAAGCCGGCAGGTGGGGGTGATGACTTCTATAGTCAAGAAAGCCAACGCTTAGGCAGAAAAACTCTCTTAAAGGAGACCAGTTTCTTGACACAGAGTTAGAAGGGATCCTAGGGGTCACCTACTCCAACCTCCCTGCTCAGTGCGGGAATCAGTCAACTACAGCACCTCCACTCTGCTTAAAGGAGTGCCTTCACAGAGGAGGGAGAGCTTGTACCTGAAGGCGGGCTGGGGGATGGGTGGGGCTCTGCAACATACCTGGCTGCTTCTTGCTCCTCGTGGCCCGACTGAGAGCTGCTGGGAGCAGGGGGCGGGGCTTGTTGCATGTGCCCGCCCCCTGGGCTCCTTACTGCCGGAGCTCCGCTCCTGTGCGCTCCCGCAGGAAATTACCCCAGCGCTTACCACAGTTAGCAAAGGATAGATGCCCACATAATTGCCACCATGTTTAGCTGTGAAAAGGGACCCATGAGGGAGAGGGAAGAAAGCAGGGGCCTGCGGGACACACCTGATCTCCAAATCATGATTAGGAGACTGGGCCCTGGGCAGTGTTACATCTGCATTGGGCAACAGCAATCCTGTCCCAGAGAAAACTCTCATGAAGAATCTTACTCATTCCTCCGAGTAAGCTGCAAATCTCCATTTGCAGGTGGCGTCTGAAGGAATTTGTGTTTTATTCCTCCACTGCTGCCACCATATTGTTAAGACACTGTTCCTCTGCATGCATCTGGGAGGGAAAGTAATTCAGGTACACTTGGCAGTTGGCATCTGTTAGAGGCTGAGCCTCTTTGGCTGTTGCTTGCCTTCTGTTTCATCTTATGTATAGGACCTCTCTTCTTCTCCTCTCTTACCTGGGCTTGGAGCTGTAGCAAGTTAACCTTTCTGAAGTCAATGTGTACACAAGCAGTTAAATGTCCCTATCTGAAATGTAAGATGTGTTTCTATTTTTTTTAAGTGAAATTTCTTTCTCTTGTTACCATTGGAGCCAGATCATCTTTGTAATTTGGTTGGACAGCATTTCCCCCTTAACTGGGAAATGTGGAGAATCAGGGATATTGCATAAAGCTTCTGTGCTTCCAAGTCAGATGATTTTATTTTTTAAAAAAACATTTAACCCAATAAATATTTGGCCAGGCAGCCAGTTAACTGTGCTAGAGATGGCCAGAAGATGGAGGGTTTTTTTCGCTGGGTGGGGAGAAACCACTGGCACCAGCATGTAACCACACAGGGTCTAGCCCATTTCCAGAACCATAGGGAAAACAAACGTTCCTGGCTCGTTCCTTTTGGCTTGGTCATGTATTCTTGCAGATTTAGTGGCCAGATGAATGAACAGGGCAAACGTGGAAGAGTTGTTGCCCAGGGAGGCACCCTCCAGAGGCATTCCATTCTCACGTTTCCAGTCCTTATTTGCGTATACCACACTCGGGCGAGGAGAGATCGCATTTTAAAATTTATTTAAGTTTCTATTTTAAATTGAGTGAGTGCCCTCCGACTCTGTGTTCCAGCTCCAAAGACCTTCATGAGACTTGTCTTTCCTCCAGCTCCGAACTGGTAAACCACAAAGATACTGTGGCCAATACAGGGCAACAGCCAAAGCTATGGATCTTCTTTGGCAGTGTCTCAGTATTATTTCCTCTGTCTTTGTAAAGCGAAAATCTTACCCTGCTTTTACTAAAAGAGGAAGAAAGCGACTATCCACAATTTGGGGAACTAAGAGCTGAGCTTCTCACAGTCCAGTCCTGGGCAGAGTCGCTCCGGTCTAAGCCCCCGGATTCCAACTGGAGTAACTCCGAAGAGGACTGTACTGTAATAGCCATAGGGGCTTTTACCGACTGGACTATACGCGATACATTCCAGCTGCCCATGTAAATCCTGCTTTCAAGGGGTTGTACCAAACCTGGGCACACGTTAAAGAGATTCCTGAACACATAATTCTCGCTATACTGAAAGGTCCACCATTGAAAAAAAAAATTCTTGCTGCAGAAAAGTTGGGGAAAATATGGGTTAGGTAAAGGTTTCCCTTGCTCAAAAGCCACTCGAGTCCGACTCTAGGGTTGCAGTGCTCATCTCCGTTTCAAAGCCGAAGAGCCAGCGCTGTCCGAAGACGTTTCCGTG